TCAACAATGGCATGCCATTGTGAATATTCCAACAGAATTTGCACAAAAATTGAAAAAAGAAAATCAACTAGAACGAGTTTATATCAAATCGCTTGAAGAAGAGAACAGAGAGCTGAAAGAAGAAAATGCGGGATTAGAAGAAGAAAACTACGACCAGAAAAAAGAAAATGAAGTGTTATTTGAAAATATAAGAAAGCTTAGCCATGAACTTATAGATCTTGAATTTAAAAATACAGGATACAAAAGAGAAAACTTACCTCTCAAATCAGAAATTTTGATGCTTAGAGAAAGGTTATTCGAACAAACCCGATTAAGTGATTCAAAAGATTTGATCAGTTTGATGAGTCCAAACATTTTAAACAATTCGATAATTTCAAAGAAATCGAGGAGTTCGAGCAGTTCAAGTAGCTCAAGAAGTTCAAGTAGTTTGATAATCTCGAAGAATTCAGGCAGCTCGAGGAGTTTAACAGTTCAATGATCTCAAAGAGTTCAGGTAGTTCAAGGAGTTCAGACAATTTGATGATCTCGGAGAGTTCAGACAGCTCAAGGAGTTCAAGAAATTCGAGACGCTCAAACAATTAGAGGAATTCAAACAGTTCGAGACGGTCAAGTAGTTCGATAATCTTGAGGATCTCAAGTAGCTCGAGGAGTTCAAAGAACTCATCTCGATGGTTTCAAGCAATTTACGAGATTCGGATTGTTCAAGATATTAAAGTTTCGAGTTTCAAGTGCGAACAATAATAAAGTTTAGGACATTGAAAATCAATAACTTGTTTCCAAGAATTATTTTAGTTTAGATATCATTTTATAAACATTTCTTAATTTTTTCCAACCATTTATAAGCTTATACATTTTTATATATCATACAATATCGAATGTTCGTTTATTACGTTTTATATTAAAAATAATCAGAACATATTGATTTTTTTTAAAATATACACTTCCCTCCAACAAGTGAATGTTCGAAATTGATTTTTTTATAGTCTTATCAGCTGATAGCTATCCAATTTCAGTTATTTTAGTAAAATCGATTAGAAGTTTGGTATCCAAAAAAATGTTTTATACAAGATCTTAATTATTTATATAATTAATTAAATCCTCATAAAGAAGACCTTTGAGTCATTATAATCTCTCGAGTTACTATCATTTACATAGTTAAACCTAAGTGCTAATTAAAAACCAAAGTTTTTTGCTAATACATAGTCACTACTACTTCAGTTTAACGGAGTTGACTATGTAGTTTGCTAATTATGCAAGTCATACTGATAAAAAATAAATTCGTAATAACGTTAACTTGTTAATCAAATAAATATACTATCGCTATTAATAAATATCTTTATAAAACTGGTTCTATTTTTAGTAATACATGTACGTATACTATTGCTATGCTGGTTAACATTAAGTAATGCATGTACTGTACGGTAACTTTGTTCTTTGTAATAAATTCTACAAAGTTACCGGTCAGATTTTGAAAATTTTGCCTATTTGAGTAGTAACATTTTAAAATTGAAACATATTGTTGATTTAAGAGTTCCTGCACCATATTATATTTGGAGTAATATATATTTAGGGGGCTTATAGTGTCTACATAATCATGAAGGATATTATTATTGGGGGATACTATATACAGTGCTAAACGGTATGCTGATAATGGGTATAAAGAATGTTGCGATGTTATCCAAACCAGGGCATGTCTAAAGCCTGGTCCATCAATAAGGATGCGTAAATTCTTGATCAACTCTGCAAACAAATCCGAAGTGCGAAAAAAACATGAAAAATAACGGAAAGCAGATGAAATTTATCTTGGTATACTAATAAAAAATGTCGGGGATCACAACTCTAACCCTAACCCTAAGCTTAAATTAATCTTTAATTATATAGTTATGTATCACGTGATGGACCAGGCTTTAGATGTTCCCCAAACCAAATTTCTCACGGCCGAAATTAAGGAAATCTTGAAAATTTTGATCTGAAATTTGGTACGTATCAGTACGTATATAGTTTTATATTATTGTCGATCCTTATTGCAAAAAAGGACAAAAGTCTCACAAAGATCCTCCAACGCCATCTCCTTCAAGCTCTTACATAGCGTGAAGGTGGGTTGTTCAGAGCCCCCGACCAGCGGGG